GGCCCCGGCTTCCCACACATCGATGAATTCCCAATTTGTTTCGCCAGGTATTACCGTACCTCCAGTCTACTCTTCAGTCCGCCAAAGTAAGAAGAGATGAGATGATATCTGCCCATCTCACGGTTACTCCTTCCGCAGGTACATATTCTCATTCCTCTTTTTGTCTTGAACACCTGTACGGGTAATTCTCCTCCTTTTTTTTGTTCCTTCCGTGTGTGTCCCATTCCATTGGTTTCCCCCCCTCTCCGTCTTATCCCTAGTATTTTGTTCTCCACTTCTTGATTCCCGTCAAGTTCCTCCTCTTTATCTTTGTGTAGTTTCCTCGTTCATTCCCCTTCTAGGTAGTAATTTCCCTTACCTGCCGTCCCCAGCAGGCAAGCAAACCGGTCCCCGAATATAATCGAAAAAAACAAAAGACAGCGGAAAAAAGCCCCTGTGGTTGGTTTGGTCATCACTTTCCCAAGTTTACTCCGCTAGCAAATAGACAATTCATAACATCACCATCATCACCATCATCACCATCATCATCACCATCATCATCACCATCATCATCACCAACGCACAAAAACACGCTGAGAAACAAGATAAAAGAAATAACATACATACATACATACAGCCCGTATCACAGATGATGCCCCGATGCTATGCAGTTTGAACGACGCTCAGAGAGAAATATACAGGGAGGAAGTGATCATGACCTCAGGAGTTAAAAGAGGAAGGGTAAGGGTGCCTGCTTGCTTGCTTGCTTGCTTGCCTGCCTGTGCCTGCTTGCCTCAATAAAAATATTCCGACAAAGGAAAATGTGTAGCAACCTGCGTCGAGCAGCGGTGTAGTGTAAGTGTAGTGTATAGTGGGTATTGATTTTTGTTTATCAAAAAAACCAGTAAAAAAATATTCGTAAAGGAGTTCGTCTCGTGTCATGGTATTGTTCCTGTGTGCAGGGATGGGGACTTTGTTCTCTACCATGTTATCCCTCTCTTTCAGAAACTCATTGTTCAGAAACTCATTGGAAGGAAATAGAAACGTCATTGTCGTGGTCGTTATCATCACCTCCTGTTCTCCCACCGCTGCCTCCGCCGACATCCTCTATCGGCTTCGCCTCCTCCGGCGGCTTCCTTAAATCCCGATCATTGGCCGCATTCGCCTTGACCGTGGTCTTGCCCGAAATTGCAGCCGTTCTGACCCTCTGGCTCAGCGGCAGGGTATATTTTAGCACACCCTTGATGATGAGTTGGAAGTCATCTGCTATGATGCGCTCCCATCTCTCGGTTCCGCCCACTGTTACGTTGCCGGGGTTCTTGAGACGGACTTCACCCATGGACGTGGACAGGCCCTGGTGGAAGAAGGAGCCCTCAAAGGTAAGAGCGCTGTTGAAACCCGTGATGGTGCCGAGGCGCATATTGGGAGATGATTCCTCAGGCGGTTGGTCGTTCGGCGGGTCGTCTAGGATCTTGGCTAAATCTCCTGATCTGCTTATTCGTACCTCTTCCTTGTGGCTCTCCAGAGGCGGCATGTCACCAGGGTGAGTGCGATACCATTCCGAGTCGGTACCAGCATGCGGTGACTTGGCAAAGACCTCGATATCCGCCGCATCCACCACCACAACTACCACGTTGGGGTTCTTGGCCCTAATCGTCAGGTCGAGCATCAACTCCTGCTCGCTCGCGACCACATGATCCATCGATATCAGCTCGATATCGGTAAGCGGTTGTGACGTCGCAAACATGAACCCAATGGCTCCCGAAACGACAAGTAATAGCATCACTGTCAAGACCAGGCAACTGGCGAACCGATTCAAGAAGGACGGCGGTTGTCGATATGTACCCGATTCCATGGACCGTAGCGAGTGCAAGCCGTTCCTCCGACTTCGTGCTGATCTTGATGACCGTACTGTCCCAGACTGTATCAACGGCGTGGTTTCGTCGTCGGCGCCAGTAGCATTGTCGTCGAGATCGTAACCAACCGATAGATGCGTTCCCCGACTGCTCTTAGCATGGGGGCCGCTCCGGCTCAAGTATCGAGGGCTATTAACACCTGATGACGGTCGTGAGTTGTTGTTTCCCGAGTTAGCTCCGCTGAAGGGTGATTGTTCGGCGAATAGCGACGCATGCCCGTTTCCTCCCCCATTACGGCCCCATCGGCCATAGTGATGATGTCGCCCAGATGTCCCCCTGGCTGACCCTGCTGTGCTCCTCCCGGTTGTGCTCTTGCCGTCGTCTTCGGCGCCAACGCTTTCATTAATGCTGGGATTGTAAGAGTTCACAAACTTCATGCTTCGCTTTACCCCGATAGGCTGTTCAACGTTCATCATGGCAGAATGAATGGAGCGCATATCGGCACGGTTCATCTGGCTGACCATGGATGCCGCGCTCGGTGTCCTAGAGTGATAACGGGGTGGTCTGGGATGGTCGGGAGGGTTGGAGTCGTAGACGAATGTTTCGTCCGAGTCTGACGAGTTAGTTTCCTCAATTGCGCTTGCTACCTTTGCCTCGAAGATGTCGGCCTTGGAGGATGCTGGACGATGTCTAGTCAGTAAGTTGCTCACTTGGTGAATTACAAAACTCTGGCTCCGTGGTTCGGGAGACCGAGAAGGAAATATGTGCCTGCTGGTGGCTTCATCAGGCGGCGGAGGACCATGGTAATACTTCGTTGGCGAAGTACACATCTCGGTAGCCGAGGAAACTGATCTCGTAGCTTGATGATGCCGAAGCCGTGGCTGCAAAATGAACAGAGTTGTCTCACCAGTGCCAGCTGTCATGTTGGGCTGCTTCCGTGCCGTCCTCTTCTTTTCTTTCTTGGGGGGCCGGATCGTCTCCGTGCTGGGTTTTGTGCGCAGACTGAGACTTGAAGGCTGCACTCCTCCTCCTGGCGCGAGGGCGACCTGGGGAATCGAGGTGACCGTTTCGGCTTCTACCGTCATGCTCTGTTGAGAAGCCTCGCCGGGCTTGCCCTTGGCAGGGGGTCGGACTGACAAGCTCGACTGCCTTGACGTCAGGGGCGGCGCACTGGTCGATCCGCTTCGGCGGACCGCCTCGATGGGGGTCGCATCTTCGGCTCCGCTTTCCGTCATGATTGAATTCGACCTTCCCGCTAGCTCTTTTTGGCGAAAGAAATCACCGGCTTCTGAGGGCACGGTCGCTTCGGACATGAGCCTGTGTCCCAGTCTTTCCTCCATTGACTGGTCAAAGACTCGCGGAGAACCAAAAGGACTGACTTCCTGGACAGTCTCAAGGACGGAGGTGCTCCCTCCCGCAGCACGAGCGGGAGTTCTGGCCCCGGGCTGGGTTGGAGTGAGGTCGTCCGCGTCTGTGTCCGACTGAGATTCCGAGGCGTAAAAGGACGATGTCTGTCGTGGAAGGGCGGTGGAAGGAGAGATGTCTGGAGTCTGATCCTGTCGTCTGGGCGGACCGAGGATGGGCGGCTTGGTGACGATGGGTGGAGGAGACCGCAGTCTGGAGGACACGGGCCACTTCAAAGGATCCTGGCCACCAGTCGGATGGGGATGAGCAGCAGACGAGTTGGCAGTTGGCGATTTGGACGGGGGTGCGGGCGCATTGACGTTCCGATCCGTCGCAGCGGGGAGGAAGGTGGGCGTCGTGGCCGACGACAGCGTTCTTGAGCCGGCCGTCGACAAGGATACGCTGCCTGGTTTCGTGGATCTCGAGGGATCCTGGAAGCTGTTCTTGCGCGATCGAGGTGCAGCACCGCCAGCAGCAGGACCGCGTGAGGGCGCTCGTGACGATGCAGCGGTGGGATTACGGGTGGTGGGGGCTCGGTTGGCAGGTCTCGTGGGAGAGGATTCGCGCGAGGCAAAGGGCGAGGGAGCTACGGACGAAGCACGGGAGACGGAGGAGGATGGTGCTGCTGCTGCAGACGTGGCCGAGGTGGTCTGCGAAGTCAGCTTGTTGTTGGAAGGCCATGGATCGGACCTGGGATTGACGGTCGCCGCGGAGCTGGAAGTGGATTCGCGGGCCAGCGTGGGGAGTGGATTCGACGGTGTCTGTGCCTGCGCATGCGCCTGCTGGCCGGCGTGGGTCACGGTCCTTTGGGGATTAGTAGTCGGGATCTGGGAGCGCTTGGGAGGAGAGGGCGAAGAGGCCGACGCCGTTATATTTGGTGATTTGTCCATGTTTGCACTGACGGCGGGCAGCCGGCTGCTGCTGCTGCTGCGAGGCAGAGGGAGACCGACGACGGAAGGGATGGGGACTGTTTAGGATCACACATGCCAAGCAAGCCAGGAACAGAGGCGGTCCGTTGTTTGATGAGTGTTCCGAGATGTGTGTGATATTGCTTAGCTACAATTGCTAGGGAGAAGGACGAGGCGTCATGTCCGGGTCAACAGAGGTGTGATTAAGTCGTGGTATCGATTTTGGGATTACCAGATGGCGGTGGTGGTGGTGGTGGTGGTTGTGTGTGGTGTTGTTGTCGTTGTTGTCGTTGGGCAGGGCGGGAGAGAAGCAGCGAGGACAGTCCCGTCGCTCGGTTATCGATGATGCTGGGGGGGAGTTAGCTGCTAGGTAGCTAGCGATGGTGCGTTGGATGGACCACCAGTAGGTGGAGGAACCGGGACCTCTGAACGGCCTTCCGCTTGTTGATGTAACCAAACGATCCAGGCAATGATGGGCGGCGCATGCACAAAGAACAAAAGAGTTTAGGCTCGGCGCAGATGAGAGAGAACCCAACAAGGTTTTTATTGATGTTATCGCTGACTTTTTTCCCCTAGAGGTGTTGTTGTTATTGTTGTTGTTGCTGTTGTTGTTGTTATTGCTCAATTGGCATATGACAAGCGCACAGTCTGGATCCTGAACTCAACATGGGATGACTGACACTGGCAAGCAAATGACTGGAAAGAGACAACTGCAGTGAACTTGAACAAGGTGACGCTCGGGAGACGGAGAAACTCGAGACACAAACAGAAAGACGGGACTTGGTTGGAAAGAGCAGGTACTGTAGTAGGTATATGATGGCAAGAGCAGCTACCAGCAACCAGAGGACAGACACTCCGTCCGTCTCGCTGCGCAGGACTTCAGTTCGTCCACTTCAAACGAAGGTTACGATCGGCTAACTATTCCCGTCACTTACTCACTACCTTCCTACTGGCACTGTCCATCTACCTAGTCATTCCATTTCCCAGTCCATATCCGATTCACACAACTCAACTTAGTCTCGTCACCTCACCTCACCATCACGAATGAATTGTTGGGCTACCAGGCCGTGACCAGACAACTAATAACCAACACCCGTGACGGTGGCCCAGACCACAAAGCACTACACCACATACTACCTACGTCCCCAATTACCTAATAAATGTAGAGACCGCCACAATGTGTTGATAGCGAATGCATTGCCATGAGTTGTTTGCGGCCTTACCTTATGCGACAAATGAAACAAGCCAATCAGGGACGGCAAAGCACATCCTGCCCTGGCCGCAAACGTCTTGTCCACGCACGCAACGCACCTCTGTTAGGCATTGCTAGGCAGCTCTTGGTTAGCGCTATCTAATGGTACAACCAACAGTAGGGCCGCTACCCTCTTCCAACCTGTTTGGTCGTGCGTCGTGGTGCATCATCCCCCTGCCCTGTTGGTCCATTCATTGTCAGTGAAAAAATCTCTTTGATTCACATATCATTTTCAAGAGCGAATTCTTGGATGACTGATTTTGCCGAGGAGTTTTTCACTCTTGTGAGTGTACTTCAGTTGTAAGGTAACTGCCAACGAGCATTGTGCTGCTTCTTCCACTTGACATGTGCACATGCACAAGAGTTATGCGGGGACCACTCCAGAATACATGCGCATAAGTACTTGTCCTTCCTGATTAATGGGACAGTGAAAGAGCAACAAATGTGTGTCCATGGCGACACAAAATATCAAACACATGAACGAGAATAGAATATGCGAGAAGCAAGCTAGGGGCGGGAATACCGCCAGCTCTTCCTTGTCTGGTCTTCGGACTAGTGCATGAAAAAAGGGAAACTAAAAAAGATCTTTTGCGGCGTGTGCATGTTCAGGTCCCGCCGCCGCCGGAACGGATGGCAACTCCCGTCTGACGATGCCTCTGTCGTTC